GGGTTATTTATTGCCACTGAGTGCTGGACATGTCCACTCAAACATAAGCACACTGAAATCCAGGCTGCTTCGTTCCTCTGTCCATTCTTAGGCTTGCTCACTGCCCTGTTGCCCCGGCCCACAACCCCTTCCCATCCCTGCTAATTCTCAGCTGTCCAGAGTGATAAAAGAGGAAGCAATAAACAGCGCACAGATTCCACTTCTGACCAGAGGCAGGATTATTGGGGAAGCCAGAGCCTAGTGATTCAGGCTCCCTGGGAAACATCATGCAGTGACCAGGGAGCAGCTGCCAGGAAGAGCAGGCAGGAGCCTCGTGTGATGGCCGGGGCTGCCAGAGGCTGACCAGGCATGGCCCACACTCTGTGCCTGGCACCTTGCTTCATCTTGCTGATGCACTGCACTTCCATCTGGCCTCATCTCACCCCCACATCTTCACACTGCAACCGAATGCCTCAGTGTGGCTGGGCGGGCTGCTCCCAGGCAATGGGGGCTGCATACTTGGACCATGAGGTTCCAAGAGGTCTCAACTAGGAAGAGCTAGATGATGATGCATATGATCAGAGACATCAAGGGCACTAAGATGTTTGTTGAATGAAGAACACACAGTCAAACGTCTTTTGTGTATTCTGTAGGGCATAATTTAAAATGAATAAATGGCATATGTTAAGTATGAGAGCACATTCTTGAAAACAAATCATGCATAAGAGAGAGCACGGTTTGCAAAGCGTTCTTCTCTTAGGCTGTGTGTTAAAGGGAAGAAGAGCCGTCAGGCCATGCTCGGTAGGTTTTTGCTATGTCAGGACATCTGCAGGCTGTCGGGGGACAAGCTGCAGAGCTCATCTGACTGCTCCAGGTCCCTCTGAGCCTCTGCCTCGGATAAGAAGGTGAGCTGAACACTTCCTTGCTCCCTCCTTCCCCACAGACTCATGGGAAGGCAGACTGGCTCCAGATTTCCTCTCTCTCCCAGGGCTCCTGACCCTGCCGCAAACTAACATCTTAAAGAATATATCTGTCGACAAACTAGGGAGTTTCTCCAGCCACTGGTCTGTAGACCCATCTCATCGCTGGCACCCAGCCCCAGGTCTGTCCTCCACTGCCTGTGTGACTCTTAGGTCCCCAAACAGACTCTCAGTGGGACTCAGGACGGAGACCCAGGAGCAGCACCTCTGCACAGAAGAAGCAGAGGCAGAGGCAGGAGGCCACTCACCGGCTCCCTGCCCACCTCCCCTGACCCAGGAGGGTCCCTCTCTGCTCTCCCTTGTCCTCTAAACACCCTCAGGTGACTGCTGGCTGCCCCAGCCTGGACCCAGGAGGACCCTGAGCAAGCCCAGCTGTCTCCCAGCTCATCACCTGACCTTTTCCCTCTGACCCAGCTCCCCGGGCTGTCCGTAAAGACACAGACTTCCTCATCTCTCTGGGTCTTGGCTTCTGAAGACGCCCACCTCACACACAGCTTACCAGGCACACCTTGTCATTGTGTGTTCAGTCTGTGTTTTGTTCCAGGGGCTTCAGCCCCCGACCTTATAAAGGTAAGGGAAAAGTTCCGTTCCCTGTACTCTCTCTGCAAACACCTGGGAAAGGCGCCATAGTCGAAACTACAAAAGTTTAAAATTTCATCTTTTTTAGAGCTTCCCAGACAGACCACAATCGTGGGCCTCGCTTCTGCTCCGTATGGCGTCCCTGCGAGCTCCAGTCCTGGGTTGTCACATGGAGCTGGTGACATCAGCTTTACTATGTTAGACATAAAAGCTTTGCTAAAAGACAAAAAATAATAAAGAAGCCGGACTTGGCCGTTGAGCGACCTGTTCTCTCAAACTGTGGCACTGTCCTTTCCCAAGGCCTGGGGAAGAGCGGTCTCCCAGGCCCCGGTGATCACACCCCAGGTTATAATTATAGTAGTGGCAGTGACAGCCGCAACAGGAGGCGCGATCATGTTCACAGAGCAGATGCACTGTGTCTTCACATACGTAATCCCTGACCCCGCCACGGAAACAAGAAATGTGGCCCAAACAGGTGCCTAAAAATACAAAGTTTTCAAAGTTTCTGGTAAAAAAAACCTCTCTCTCTCTCTCTCTCTCCTCAGTTTGACACTTACACTAGCTTCTATCACTTACCAACTCTTCCCTGGGTCAGAAACAGCACTCACCGTGTGCCTTACTCTGAATAATGGACCTGCCCACACCCTGCACGGTTCCTGGGTGACGGAGAAGACCTGAGCAGCCCGCTGCACTGGGAGCCATCGTGACCCCAAGCCACAAACGAAGCCCTGAGGTCTGGAGGTGGAGACGGCCCGAGATCCTCAGTGTCTTTCTCAAAATGCCAAATATCCGACTTTTCCTGAAACTTTGGCAGTAGGGCCAGACTTTTCTAGAGTGTGTAATGGGGAAAGCTGCTGCGTCGCCCAGGCCAGAGCCGCAGCTGGCAGCGTCCGCAGTGCCGCGGGGAGCGCCCTGGGCTGCTGAGGAGCAGACCCCACTGCAGCGGCGGCTGCTTCACGTTGGCAGGTGCGATCCGCCCTGTTGCTGCCTCTGGCCGTGACCATGGGTTGCTCCCTTCCCTAATCTGTGTTGGAGGGGGGCATTTTATAGGTTTCCCTTCAAATCAAAATATCTGTAAAATTCCTGAATGTAAACAAAAATGAGGATCAACCCAAAACGCAGGTACTTCCTTCTTTCCCTATGGCAGGTTAGTTAGCCCACTCGGAACCCCAGGTTTCAATGTCGGCCTCGATTTACACTTTTACTCAAGCCCTGTGACCCTGAGCAGGAGCCCAAGGACCCAGGGGAAGGTGCAGGAATTCGAAGCCCACCGAGGGCCAGATTCCCTTCACCAGCAGGAAGCAGCCCCCCTGCACTTGAAGTTAAGAAGGAGACGAAGGAGACTGGACTCTGGACCGAGTCCTTCTGACCCTTGGGACTGAGCACTGCAAACAGCCCGTGGGGAAATTGACTCTGACCAAGGGAATGAGGACAGAGGACAGCTCTACCAGCAGGTGATCTCAGAGGACGGGTGAGCAAAGCTTCCAGGAGATACATTGTTAAGAATGGTGGTTCCCTCTGGGTTTTCAGGTGCTAATTTCATCCTGATCTCAGGAACTTCCTTTAGTCATGACTGTGGCTGATTGTTAAAAGGTCTCAAATGAGAGCTAAAATAAATTGGGATATCTGGGTCAACACTCAGAGTTCATCAATATTAACTCTGAGCTGTGTTTTCTACTTAGAGCTAGACAGTGATTATAGCTTATACCCACAGCTCCCCACACACGAAGGCAGAACTGCCAATGTCTTTAAGAATCAATTAGTTTCTACATGGAAACTCACTTTTCAGGGTTTGGGCTGGAACTTTAAAGCCTCAAGCCAAAGATAAGAAAGGCTATTAAATCATAATCTAGCATTCAGTAGATTATGCAATATAAATTAAATAATATATATGAATACCAATCAATGTATTTGTATTTATATATTTCATGTCCATTAAATAATTATATGACTCTAAACTATACATGATCAAATTGATTCCACTCACTGGAATAAAAACACACGCCTCTTGATCTTTAGAGTCGTGACTTGGGAGAGGAAGTGCTCAGCCTGAACTCACGCGTTGAGCTGCTGTGTACCTTATCGCGGGATGGGAAGGTCTTGGGCACGCCAACTTTCACATCTACTAAATTGTGCCTGTGAATCACGCCTTCACTTGCTTTACGGGTCCACTGAGGTTTTCCAGATGTGAGGAAGGAGAGCGCAACTTTCAGGAAAGAGAGAAGGGCTTTCTGCTTCCATCAGAAATTAGCAGTTGAGTTTGAGGATGGATGGCCTTTCAGGGTCCTTGGGTAACGTGACAGGCCCTGACAGACTTTCTCCCCCCTCCTCGTCCTCCAGGCCAGGTGGGCAGGTGGGCAGGTGTTATTCAACTAAGTGGCCCAGGACCCCCCACTTTTTCCTTCTCTGGGGGCTTCCCTGCAACCCCAGCGTAGTGGGGACAGACGGAAAGTCCCCCAGAGCTGCCTGTCCACAGCCCGGTTCTGAACTCTGAATGGGACTCGAGGCTCTCCGTGAAACGTGGTTAAGGTTGGGAGGCAACTTTCCAGTTTTTTCTTTATAAAAACAATATAACCAATGTATTAAAAATTAGGAGAAATCTGAGTACCTACTACCCAGCTACAAAGGCTTCTGCTGGCATCTTATAATATTTGTTCTTTGTCTTTTGATTTTCCTTCTTCCTATAAGTACAATTCTAGTTTGGACTTATTAAAAAACAAGTCAAAAGCAGAAGATCTAGAAACACTATTGAGCAAAGGGAAGGGGGCAGAAATGCCCCCACAGCCTCTCCGGCCCTTCCTAACATGCCCGGGACGCCCTGTCTGGAGTTCCTCAGCACACGTGTGTGTCTGTCTGATTTTATATGTATTTATCTTGTGAAGCGTACAATTCTGTCCCCTGCTTTGTTCACTAAACAGTGACTGAAGCCGGGAATGGTGGTACACGCCTGTAATCCCAGAGACTTGGGAAGGGGGACAGAAGGATCGCACTTTTCAGATCAGCCTCAACAACTTACAAAGGCCTCAACAATCTAGCAAAAGCCTGTCGCAAAATAAAAAATAAATAGGGCTGGGAGCATTCCTGGGTATTTCCTCAAAGATCTAAAATCAACATATTACAGAGGTACAGCCACCTCAGTACTTATGGCACCACGATTCACAACAGCTGAATCATGGAGTCAACCCTGGTGCCCGTCCATAGGGAAACTGATTAGAAAACTGCAGCATATATACTTAGAATGGAGTTCTACTCAGAAAGAATGAAATTATGGTATTTGCTGGTAAATGGAATTAGAGAATATGCTGAGTCATAAAAGCCTCACTCAGAAACTCAAAGATCAAATGTTTTCTCTCGGATGTGGAAGATAGAGTCAAATAAAGGAAAGGAAGGAAAGGATAGAATATCAAAAAAGATGAAGGGAAGACCAGTAATGCAGAGGAGGGGGTGGGGAGGCCAAGCGGAGGGCTGGGTTGGGGGAGCCGTGCAGAATGGATTCTCATGGAGTCACGTATGTGCAGATGTAAATACAGCACAGGGACTTCACTGCTGCAGGTAGAAAGGCCAATCAGATAGAAATAAACAGAGCGGAAGGAAGCCTGAGAGCAGAGGAAGGGATACGGGAGGGGGGGAGGGGGGAGGACGTGGGAGAAAGGGGGTCTCCAACGGCAATCACCTGCAAGCATGTCTGGGTGTGTGGGGATGAGGCCAGCCACAGTGCACAGCTATACCCTCTCGGAGGATGGTCAGTGGTGGAGTCCCCGGGCCCATCTTCAGAGCCACAATTCAAACAGCAATGCAAGAGTCACTGACAGTCCTGGGAGGCGGGAGCGACGACCACCTGCACTGGGGTCGGACGGGGCCTGAGCTGCCGCCTGCTGCCCTCAGGGACCAGGGCTTCCCAGAAACCCGAGCTCCCCGTGGGCAGCTGACTTGAGTGGAGCTGAATCGCGTCTAAGATCTGGGCTGTCCTGTGTGTGAACAGTCAGGCACATTCTGCTGAGGAATATCCGAGTGAAGCGGCCACTTCAAACATTCTAGAAAGAAAAAGCAGACCGTTTATCACCTCTCCCCAGGCTCCAAAGCCCACCCAACTGTTGGGACTACACATTTAAATCCTAGCAGAGGGAAGAGGGAGACCAAAGATTGTTGGCTCTGTCCCAAAGACTTGTGTCCAAAATGGCTGCAGAGGCTCCAGCCTCCCCGAGGCCTGTGCTGAAGCCCGGCCCCTCAGAGGCCATAGCCCCAAGCTCTGGACCAACACCAGTTGGCTTTTCAGGCCAGCACTCCTAACAGAGCCCTGCGGCCTTGCTGAGGCTGCACAGGTGCCGTCTTCAGGGAGGACAAGCTCCCTCTTGGCCCGGTCTCCTCTCCCTCTTCTCTGACCTGTTCTGACATGGTGGAGTCCTCCTGGCAAACACGCTGCAGGACCGTCTGAACATCTGCTTCGTCACCCGTTGGGTCAGAAGGGTCTCCGTGACCCTACAGGAACACCCTTCAGGATGCTCAGTGCACGGGAGACGGCTCAGGTGCTGCCGCTCGGCGATCCCTGGGACCACATTTGTTTGTTTTGCTAACATGAGGAGCACCTTCGCCCAAGAATCTCTGAGATGCAACTTACAGCAGAGCAACACAACAAAGTAAAAGCCCTGCCATTTTTGTGTAGAAGAATAAAACATATAAAGAGGTTTCCTTTGTCTTTAAATGTCAATCTCAACCTTGTGAGTAGCTGGCTGCCAATCTCTGCTCCTGCCGACACCACGGCATCAGGATTTGAAGAGAAGAAGGAGCCCAGGATTTCAGACTCTGACACTCCGCACGTTGCAAACGGCAATTTGGTTTAATGAAGACCTAGTTTTGAAGGGGAGTCAAAGAAATGCAATTCTATTACTGCTTTCTGATTATTTGGGTAATTTAAAGGTTGTCTCTTTGACTTCTATGGGGAAAAGAACATTTTAAAATATGAGTACTAACATTTAAATGAACATTTCTTTTACACTTTTAGAATTCTGTCTTATATTTAACTTTTTAAAAGTTTTTATGAGGACTTTTAAAGGCCAATGTCGTTTCCACTGTGAAGTGATCAAGAAATTTAATCATGTCTGGTACCTACTGATGGAAACTAAATCATGAATTTGAGGGTCCAGGCACGTGCACCCCAGGCACACACTGAAGGCTGGGGAGGGGTCGGTAGACACAGATGGCCTCAACAGGTGGAGCTCTGGGAGTGACAGTGTCTGTGTGTCTACTGGGGGCCACCTCCACTCCACACAGCTACCAGCTGCACCTGCTCGTTCCAGGACACCCCGGTGCTCTCCCTCGCAGTAGCCTCAGGTGTGGGGCCCGGCCACACTCCCGCCAGCTCAGCTCTCTCCAGGGCTGGGTCTGAGGCAAGAGCACCGCATACCCACTGGGGGACGCACCACGCAAACCTACTTCATGCTGCACAGGA